CAAATACCCAGACGATCAGATGCACTACAACCAAGTATGAATGCCCAATGAACTCCCAAGATCTGCCAAGCCGCCACGAGTTGTCCCGCCAAAGACACCGGAATAGAACGCTGAAGCACATATATCGGTGTGAAGCAATCTCAATTGAGAGAACTCGATCTATAGACAAAATTCGTTCAAAGACTATCAAAGCAAATTAATAGTCTCATTTTGTATTATAGACCTAATTGAGAACTATCAAACAAGATTCATATTGCATATTTTTTGAGATTCATATTACAATATATAAGCGATTAAAAATTGACACGAACTTCGAAAAAAGACAAAGAAAATGGGACGGAGGGAGTATTTAAAGACTCCCTCGAGGTTTTGGTACTATATAAAGGGAGTCAGTTAGTTCTCTTCTCCACCACTCTACTACTAATTCTGGAAGTGCATTTTATCGGAAAAAAGAGACATTGACAATGGCCCAAGGTAAATTCTAGTGCCTGTCATTTCTTTTTTCCTTCTTCTCCTTATCTCTATTAATTTCTTTCGAGAATTCACGTAAAATTTATTTTATCTCAACGTCAAATATAATGGGAATCTGCATATATAGTAAGATACACTGCAAATTCATCAACCATTAGGTGACAATTGTTTAGGCCCTTGAGGGGTGACTTAAGAAGGTCCAAGTAATTTTAGATACCGTTTTTTTGTTTGTTTTGCGGGTTTTGCTTAGGTTTTTTTGTGATTTGGTTTTTCGGTTTGTTCAGTTTTTCTTTCTGGTGTTTTGGTTGTTGGTGTTGCTGCTTAGCTTTTTGGTCTTTGGGTTAGTTTGATGCTTTGGGTTTTGTGGTATTTTTGGGTCTTGTAAGGCGTTTTGTTTGTGTTTGTCTTTTTGGGGTTTCGGTGTTTCGGTTGGCGTCTTGCCTTCCTTTCGGTCTCAGATGGCTTCGTGCCGGTGTGCTCTTGATCCGTTTAATCTTTGTAATCTTTTATAAAGATTAATAAATCTTTTTTGCTGAAAAAAAAAAGTATAATTTTTATAACCATAAAAAAGAAGTGTACTTTTATATGACGTATCGCTTTCTGAGTTTATTCGACCCATATACTTGTCGAAATGTTTGATCTTTTAAAATTTTATGATCATGAATCTAAATATTATTAGGCAGCGAATCCGTATTGTGTTATAAAGTCTTGCCTCCATGGCTCCATTGAACGAATATTATGGCTATGCCTTTCCATGCAGATAAGGTAATTTTAGTTTTATATTATTCAAATTTAAATAATTAGGCGATAATTGCATATATATGCGTTTCGATAAGGTCTTGCATGCCCTCGTTGAACAAAGATTATAGCGCAAGTGAAATAGAGTGCAGTTGGTGCCTCCCTTATACTCTCATACACATGGGTAAAGTTCGATTTTCGTAAGCATTCATTCCTCTCCCCAAGTCCCCTAGAATAGAATATATTAGCCTATTAGGTTTAACGAATGACAAAAAACAAAACAAAACAAAAAAGATTACAGCTTTGCCTTTGCCTACATAGAGTTTTAGTTCATTTGTATATAATATTTTAGTTTATTAGAATATTCTTCAACCTTGCTATGTGTATGAGCGTATTTGCGAGAAGTTTTTGGGTGCTGGGCTAGTACCATACACGTGGTACCCCGTCAATGATTTCATCCGTCCAAATGTGTTTTGGACGGTTGGAATCGCCGACGGGTACTACCGCCACGTGGTACCCGCTCGGCACCCAAAAATTTCTCGTGTATTTGCTCCCATTGACAGATACGATAAAGTATGGAAGCAAGAAGTTCGAGAAGATGCTCAATGAGCTCTACAAAGAAGCAGCGGAATTGTCCAACGACCACAACTGCAAGGTGGAAATTTTCGTGACCCCAAAGAAAATAGACAAGAATTCGAAAATGTATGCTTCTGGCTCCCCCTCGATGGAGTCCGTCGTGAAGGAGTCGGAGGCGAACGCGAAGGCAGAGAGAAGGAAAAGGAAGAAGCTTAGTGCCACTCCTGTTTGTGGTTGTAAACTTGGCGGAGAAGATGCCAATGTTAATCATGAGGGGAAATAAAATTTGGTGTAATTTGAAGCGTATATGAATTCATCGTCTTGCCCTAAATTACCAATAATATTGGTTAAGGTTATGCCTCTCAATGGTTTGATTATGCCTACGGTATGCACATAGTTACTGTCTCTCAATGGTTTTGGTTATGCTTATATGTTATGCTCTATTTGTAAAATGTTATGCTTATGTTACGCCTCTTAATTATTTGGCTACGCCTCTCAATGATTTAGTTAAACGGGTGCATACTATACACGAGTGTGTGTATAGACTATGGTAGACGTTCTCACCAAGGAGATCGATATTACAATACTTAAAGGAAGGGCAAAACACCGAGGAGAATTCTAAAACCACTAACCTTCGCACAAACAAAAACACAACACGCTCTCATAAGGTGTGTGGGCTCCACCACACACCAGTGGTGTAGTGTGTGAAGCCTACACACTTTTGTGAGTGTTTGTGCATTTATTTGTGCAAAAGTGTAAAGGGACAACAAATTGTTAGAGCATTTCGAGTCCTTTTTCAAATCTTCGACATATTATGTTTTACTCAATTTTTGGCTCAAATTTTTAAAGGCTGTTTTTTTTTTTTTCTGTCTCAAATTTAGAACTATGTGCCTCTTTAAACAAAGTTTTGAACTACGCCATTAAGGAAGCTTAATTTTAACTCTGAGTGGGGAGGATAGGATTATCAATACCTACTAGCCCATGGTATTACTAATACCCTCATTTTGAGGGATTAATAGTCCAATGGAACTACCAATTCAACCATGCTTTACCAAACCAAACAAAGGATTAAGGGCCCGCCGCTTTATTAGTCCAATCCCATGGTTGAAGGGAGTTATCAAACATATGGAATTGTAATCAGATTATATATGCTCAAGAGAAGCTTCTTTAAATGCTTCGAAAGAAGCACAATGATGTAGCACAACAAGAAACTTTTCTGTATATGGGGATACTAAGGGTGATGGTATTTCCTCCGGTCCGTTTTAAATTTTTTGGTCATTTTCTGATCACACTTGGATTATCGGCTCCGTTTATTTTGTAGAGTTCGGCGAAAACCTTAATCATACAAAAAATTGTGTTCATCAGACTTTAGTAGATACATGATCGGCACACGTGAAAATTGCAAAAAAAATAAAACTGGGTTGCGATTCAATGTGGTTTTGGATCCAATTTTGGTTTTCTTTAATTTTCATGTGTTCCGATCATGTATCTAAAAAATCCGATGAACACGATTTTTGGTATGATTAAGGTTCTCTCCGAACTCTATAAAATGAACAGAGCCGATCATCCAAGTGTGATCAGAAAATGGCCAGAAAATTAGAAATAGACCGGAAGGAATACCAACACCCTTGGTATCTTTATTTGCTAGGGAGGGCAGCTTCTTGGGTTAGGTTTTGAGTTTTCTTTGGGCTAATCTTTATTTGTTAGATTTTGGTTCTTTAGGCCTTTTGGGTATTTTGAGCTGTATTTGTTTCTATTTGGGCATTTTAGGCCCTCAGGTGTTGTTTGAGACTGTCCCTCAGGCTGTATTTTCCAACTTTTTGTTAGAAACCCCTTCCCCTATCTCTAATAAATTGTATTTGTTTCTATTTGGGCATTTTAGGCCCTCAGGTGTTGTTTGAGACTGTCCCTCAGGCTGTATTTTCCAACTTTTTGTTAGAAACCCCTTCCCCTATCTCTAATAAATTGGTACTTTTGTCGATAAAAAAAAACATCCTTGGTATCTCCGGTATAAAAAAAAGTTTCTCAGCACTCTGATTGCCTTGAGGAAGGCTCCTATTATTCCAGTATGAATCTTGAGTAGGTAACCCTGAATTAAGTTGCAACAAACACAAGTCTACGTAATATTCATGGGCATGTTCAGAAGAATTTTCAGGAATTGAAAAGTTCAAATAACATTTTTAAAAAGGGAGCTTAATCATTTTGAGCATAATATCGTTCGGCATTCAGAATTTGAACAATTGGGAAGTATTTTCGGATTATGTCAATGGTTGATCTTGTATATAGAGTGGTGGTACTTGTGCTTACTCTTCATAGGATGCGGTTTATTGCCCTCAAGACTCAAGAGTAGCTTTCGTTGAGATGCAATTATGCAAAACAAAATGCTCAAAGCCAAAATAGAAACAGTACGGGAATGCAATATTGCCAATATATATCAAATTTCATTGGTTTGAGATGACACCAAGATAGGACTTAGGAGTACTACTTTTGGGGTCCCCTACAGGAACGTAATTCCTATTCGAAAGACGAATACTTTGACTGAGTTGCGGTGGACGGCGTCGACTCTAGGACGCCAGAGATGAGGAGAGAGACGAAGACGCCAAGGTGAGAGAGAGAGAGAGAGACTAGTGCATGATGAGAGAGAGGTCGTTTTTTTTTTAATTAAAGTTTTTTTTCCGAGTGATTTCATAAAAAATCAGTTCAATCGGATAGGTATAAGTGTTTAATTCAATATTCTAATTTTTCTAAGATCTGTGGATCCTACCAAAGAATGAAACCTGGCGCTGCTCGCTCTGGAGGTCAGCTTTTTCCTCTTCCAAGTACACTCGATTTTGATTTGATTCTCTTGTATGAAATACAATCAAGCGGAATCCGATTTTAATGAAATGAAAAAAAAAATCAAAAATCAATTTAAAAAAAGGTGAATAGAAAAACTTATTAGATACCATTGACTTTGGTATCTAATCGTGCCGCTCAGTTTAACAGTTAGAGCTAGGATCGGATCTAGAATTGGGTCTTCTAAAAAGGGTTCCAAAGATGCTGGTGGCAGGGTCTGGGTCGACAATTGGATTTAAAACTGCTTGCTCGGATGCTTCCTCCTATCATGCGGTGACCTCTGTGCACCCCACAGAAGGCGATCAAAGGGCAAGCGATGGCAAATCTACTAGCTAGTGAAAAACCCGGTGCTAGACAGCGAAGAAGTGTCAAGTAAAATGGCCTACTTAACTCAGTGGTTAGAGTATTGCTATCATACGACAAGAGTCATTGGTTCAAATCTAATAGTGGAGTATCACAGGGGGACTGTCATGAATCCGAGGGTTTTGAGTTACGAAGGCGTGGCTGGGGCACATATTATTGTCTTTTCTGGCTTGTGCTTCTTGGCAACTAGCCGATCTTCCTTTCTTTTCTGCTGGGCTAAGCGCCACTCCCTTCCTGAGTTATTCCAGCTTCCGACTTTTCGATGTGGCCCCATTTTCGCCTTACCAACCCCAGGAGGTTCTCGTATACATATGTACCAATACATTTTCCAGACCTGACTGACTCTGCAATTTAGGATTCTATAATGCACACAATAATATGAAATGCAAGCTGTAACCCAGCGCCATAAAGGACAACGGGCAAGCAAAGCATCCTACCCTTTAAAGATTTTGACCCAATTTCGATTTTATCATTATCGTTCAGAAAAGACAAAATAAAAATAAAAAAATCAGGATAGCAAAGATTCTTCAGAATTTCTCTTTCAGAAAAGACAAAATAAAAAAAAAATCAGGATAGCAAAGATTCTTCAGAATTTCTCTTAGATTCGAACCCATTGCCAATGATAGAATTGGGATTCTCTAATCTAGTAGCTATGAGTCTATGTACAAGAGAGGTCTTTCCATTGGTGGAGGGTTCCAAACCTTGCCTAACTGTTAGTTGAGGATGACCTTTGTAGGGCTCAAATTTGAATAAAAAATTAAACGATTGGATCAACTACATAATCTGATTTTTTGCAGGACCATTCAGAAAAATATTTTAAATTTAATGAACGAATCGAAAGAATTGCGTGAGATCCCAAAATGAGCCCCACAAAGTGGTCTATGCGCACAATCTACGTACGTAGGTAGTGAGGTTGTAAGGGCTAGATGTGAGCATGTGACCCAATTTTACACATCACAAGCTTATAGAACCGAATCAAACATTCAAATTAAATTTGAAAGCTTAAGATTAGGGCCGCACTTGTCCTTTATTTCATGAGATGAGTTTTGCAGATGCTTAATACTCCCTATGTTCTTAAATAATAATTTACTACAAAAAGACGAGCACTTTTCAAATAAAAAAGTCAAAAACTCCCGTAATTAGTTTCTTAAATTTTTAAACATCAAAGTAAAAATCTCAATGCACATCTTTTTGTAGTAGACTATCGTTTCGGAACAGATGGAGTGCTTGAAGATACACAACCAGTTATCGTCCCACAGAGCCTTTATTTTAAGCCCGTTTAGCCACTTGCGGCCCACAAAAATATGGCAACAAAATGAGTTGAAGCAATCAACTCTGCTGGGATGAAAGTCAGTGTAGTTACCAAAGGACTTGACCCCTAAACTACAAAAATGCATTTAGCAGCAGTATTCCCTAAAGAGAGGAGCATTTTTTGTACTCCTTCATAAGAGTATCAACAAAGCGTATCGGATACTGTAAAAATGCGACCTGAGAAATCTGCGCATATCAGGAGCGTTAAACTGAAAAAAATGCGACTAATTCAAGCCACGGGCCTAATACTATGCAAAACCAAAACATAATTTGAGCAGGAATAAACATATAAAACTAAAAACCAATTTTGTATTATACCGGAAACTAACCAATTAAGACCATCTGTTTCCAAAAAAAATGACAACAGGAAGCAACAAAATATTTTTGGAAATGGGTTGAAGAAAAGCAGAAATCCTAGAAGTGAAATCAATCAGGGGTCTCAAACCATATTCAACAGGAAAAACAAGTGTGGCTCTAAATGCTTCTTCAATGGATGTTCCCAGCGAGTTGCAATACACAGAGAACTGACCTTCCATTGAAGCTCAAATTGCAGGGGAGTGCGATTCAAAAACCTTTTGGAAGGCACGTCCGGAGCTAAAACAAAACAAGAAGGATTTTACTATGGTCAGTGCTGTGAGATTTGAGAGAGAGAGAGAGAGAGGTATAAGAAAAAGTGTCAAACTAAGTCGTGGCAGAGTGAAACAGATTAAATTAGTGGTAGTAACCCCAAGTACTTTTCTTTACTTTTTCAGGGAGAGCCACTGACAATTATTTCTTCAAGCAGGCAAAAACTTGGATCCTTTCTTTTCCATGGACTTGGTACGCAACCTCTCCATGAACTGTGTATTGGCTCTGAGTCTCCCCTTGGCATAACGAGTTCGAACCTCCTCTACAAGCTTATCAGCTTTTCCGGCTTCCTCAATGAGCGCAAATAGAGTCCTAAGACAATCCTTTCTGTTCTCCTCCCGATGTTCAAACCTGACAACAAGACCAATAGGAACAATTAAATCAAAATTTTGCAAAGAAAACTATTTCACCTACTTCATAGGTTTGATGGTCAGACCAATGTTCCTCTCCTCTGACAAGCAGGATAATATCTTTATTAGAAGTGCATCCATGGAGCTCAAATTCAAGGGTTTGCTATGAGCCAAAATGCAAGTCTTTAACAAATGTTTTATACCTTCCAATTCCTGTAGTGAAAATTCTAACAAGTGAATCGATGTGTATTGGGCTTTACCTCTCACTGGTGATTGTTAGCTCATCTTTCCCCGGATGGTAGCGCTTTCCAACGAGTTCCCGCAGACGACGAAATTGATGCTTTGAGAGCCCAAGCTCTTTGACAGTAACAGCCATCTTCACTTTTCTGTTTTTGGGGTGCCATGCATCACCACCGGGAGCCAAGACAACACGGGTCTGCCACCTGAGAACTGGCCCCTCACCTGGTGGGTCATCTATATTCTTTTTCTTGTCTGGCACAGAGGTATCATTACACTGTGGAGGTCCTTCTGCCTCCATCATCTTACCACATTCCAAAACCATCTCATCTTCAAATTCCTTGAAAAGCTCATAACCTTTTTCAACTTCTATCTCCCCCCTTTCAACCATGTCACCTATCTCATTAAATTTCTTCTCCACTTTCTGCTTTATCTCATCTGAGAAAATTGCACCGGGGAAAATTTAACACTTCCCTCATAGAAATAGAATGAATAGCACAATGCTAATATTTCATCGCTACAAAAAATACTCTTTTTTATTATCAAAGGAATCGAATCAAACATACTCCAGACAACTTGTATGGGAAAGAAAAATGTTTGACGACTCCAACTTACGTGCTCCTAGCAATAGAATATATAAACCCAGATAACTATCAGAAACCAAATCGAGGGGGAAAAATAACTGCAAAAATTTCTTCGCACAAAACAGTTCTTCCAAATCATATAACTATTATCTGGCTAGCCCCTAAACAATGCAACAGTAGGAGATGGGACCCTTCTACAACTTTTCCCTTCTTTGGTTTTCAGCGAATGGAGAGTTAGTTAAGGAAAAAATGAAAAGGTGAAGATGTAATCATCGTGAGATGTTAGATCCTTCAAAATCCTACTTCGTTTTCCTTAACCCAAACCCTTGATCCAAATGCAGCGTGAGTGGAGAAATCCAAAAAGAGAAACATTCATGAAGAAAAGTCATCATGTTCTACTTGAGAAGAGTTGCATATAGGGTCAAAAGTTCTAAAAAATGGTAACGGTCACCAAATTGCAATTGTCCATTAGAATCCACAAAGACTTGGAAAGTGAGGCACACCATCCTAGAAACTCGAATGAAGGGTTCCATTAAAAGAAGCCAAGAACAACAAATTGGTTGATAGAACCAAGATATCCATGTAGAAACAAACTACTTGGAAGAAAAGCAGAAGATACAAAGACCACCACCAATATCACAAGCATATAAGGATATACCTGGAAGGAGCTTATCCCAGCTAAGCATGTCCTCTAGAATTGCCTCACATTTCCTGGTGTCCTTAAGAAATCCATGATTCATTGCCTCATTAATCATATCTCCCCACTTCTTGTTGTCCATGTGGAAGAATTCATCTTTAACCATCCTCTTCTTCACAATATCCGTTGCATTATACAAATCATCAATATCTTCATCAGTCTCGTACAACTCCTCAAAATCAGATTCAAACTCATCGTCTTTAACATCGTCCAACGGCTTGCTACTAAGTTCTTCTATCAGCTCATCATCGGTTTCCTCGTGCTTTCCTGCTAACTTTCGTTGGATTATTGCTTCAAGAATGGATGGGAGTGCCTCTTCATCACCTTTTTTAAAGTACTCTTCAATACGTATTTTCAGCTCTGCAACAAAAAGAATAAAAAATGCAGATAAGCAAGACCGAAAAAATAATCAGATCTCAAGAAGTTGAGGGAAACACTCGGATACATTTGCACAGGATGAATACTTTTGATAACCAAAGATCCATAAACAGAAGATGTACCCAGTAATATTAAATTGCAAAGCAGGTAGGACAGAGCTCAACTCGTAGATAATGTATGTATACACATGTATACCAATACAAGAAACGAAATGCCATGTCTTCCATGTTTGATGGTCAAAACCAAAATGCCATGTGTGGTAGGCCAGATTAGGCATTTGTATTTCAAATTTCGAGGGAGGCCATTTCAGTTTTCAAACGCAACTTCTGCTGGTGAAGATATTACATAATTGTAGGATAACCAGTAACACACACAACAACAACAAAAAAGAAGCTGACAGAAACCAACAATCACTCACAAAATATAGCAAGCCGTTAGGGAAGTACAGACACTATGAGTAGATGAATCAACTAAGAATCATGTGCCACTCGGGTGCATTACAGATAGTTAATGCAGATGTATGCACAAGTCCTTAAATTTACGACCATTTGGAGTTAGTTAATCTAGTTTTTTAACATCATGGAAAAGCCAATAGTGCAGAGCAACATGTTTAAACGCAAAAACAAAAACAAAAACAAGAAAAAACTTATTTTCCAAACAAATTCACAGGAAGCAAAAGAACAGCACCTTTGTTGCTGACGTCTTGAACATCCACAGAGACATCCCTCTTTTTCTGGGTTTGGGGCTGCAAGCTACTTTCTTCTGGAAGGGGGTCAGGGTTAGAACTAGGGTTTCCATGGGGCGAATCGCTATCGGATGAGAAAAGCCTACTCAAGTTGGAAGAAGAAGAAATCATGTCAGAGAGAGAAGAAATGCGAGAAGGGTTGCTGCTATTGGGATTTGGATT